CTCTTTTTTTTTTTTTTTTTTTTGGTGCCAGGGATCCAACTCAGGACCTTGTGCTTGCGAGGCAGGTGCAGTGCCACTGAGCTAAATACCTGGCCCAGAGAGCCTTTTCTACCTTGTTACAAAAGCCACACTCCAGCTCGCAGCTCAGGGGCACGTCAGGAACAGAGATGCTCAAAACTCTGGCTTAGGGGTGTGTCGTGACAGCACCACAGCTCTCAGGGGCCACCGCTGGGCTAAGCCACGGAGGCTGTGCAGAGGGGCACTGTCACCCCAAGCTGTCAGCAAGACAGCAGATGCTCAGAAGCCCTCCTCACTGGGGCCATGGGGTCCGTGGTGAGACACCAGAACCCACACACACCTTGACTTCTGTAAGACATAAACCCCAAGCCCAAGCCGGGCCTGCAGTCCAGAGAATCTTGAGCCACCCTGCTCTGTGGAGGGAGCAGCCCCCGAGGGACACAGTCCTTTGGCAAGAAGCACAGCAAGGCCAATGCCTACTTTCCATGCCTTGCAGGGGACTGGTGCTCTGGCCAGACAATGACCAGCACAGGGACAATGGGTTCCACTTGGCTTCTCCCACGTGGCAGGGTGGTTCTAACTGCTCATCTTGGGCTCCCCTGGCGCCGGGTGTCCTGGTACTGCAGGGTGCTGAGCAGCGTCCCTGGCCTTCACCTGCTCCGGGCCAGGAGCTTCTCCAGCTGTGACAGCCACACGTATCCCAGAGATGCCATTCTCAGGGTTCTGAAGAGGCTTCCTGCCAGGCAAGCTGCTGGAGAAGCCTGTGCTGGACGGTGGAGCTGCATACACCAGCCTCCCTCTGGCACGTGGAGGCCTGAGATGCCTCCCCTCCTGATTCCTGGACACACAGGCTCAGTGGCCTTCCTGTGCTCTCGGCCTTGGAAACCACTGCTGGGTCCCACGCTGAGCGGGCAGCACTAGGGGGCAGCCCGGGGCCAGGCAGGGTGAGCGCCAGGCACCAGACCCGGAGGCCAGGACGCGTGCAACCCCAGCACCTGCGCCACTGGTCCTGGGAGGCCACCCCACTGTTGTAAAGCACGTACCTTCACCCTGTCCCTCAAGTTCTGCCCAAACACGAACGCCCGCCGTGCACCGCTCTCCTCCGAGCCGTCACTACATTCATTTCTCCGGGGCTCTCTCTTCTATGGGAAAGAGCACAGCATAGTAACCAAAACCAGCAGCCAAGAGCTTGGTCAGCAAGAATCGTCACCCATGTCGCTTCCTGTACACGGCTTCTTCCCGGGCCCCTGGGTGGGGGCTGGGAAGAGAACCCGGAGCCACGGGGCAGCAGGGTCTCTAGGCGTGGAGGCCGGCCGGTCTCAGACGCCGGCTGCCAGCCTTCTCCCCACTGCAGAGAGTGCATGGCAAGGTGGGACGGCCCAGACGCATCAGGGCTCCCACACAGCCGTGGACTCCATTCACCTCTGTGTAAGAGTCAGTCTGACTTCCAGCTCTCCGAGACCCCTGAGGAGCAGTGGCCTTTCCTTTCCAGTGGACAAGCGCAGCAAGGGGCGGTCACGCCCAACAGGCCAAACTGCTGCTAAGATGCTGTCCTCAAGACACCCTGTCGGGCGCAAGGGATTTGCTGCTCCAGCAGCCTGAGTGCTGTGCAGAGCAGGCACAACCAGACAGGAGACGCAGGCCAGGCGTGGGGCATGCACCCGTGACCTGGCTCCGCAGAGGGGAGGAGGTGGGCCTCAAATTCGACCACGACCTTGGGAACTCAGGTCCTGTCTCAAAATGAAAACTAAGTTCTGGGATTAACTCAGTGTGAAGGACCTGGGTCCAATCTCCAGTGCTGGGGGGCAAAGGGAGACAAAGGGGGATAAAACATACACAAAGCAGCTGTGACCAAGAGAAGCAGGTAACTGACCCGAAATGACAGCCACACTACAGCAATTACAGAAAACACTTGTGGGATACAGAAGCTTGATTCCATTCTGGTTAAAAATGAATCCTGGGCCAGGCATGGTGGTGCCCTATAATTCCAGCACTGATGACGCAGAGGCAGGAGAATCACTGCAAATAAAACATACACAAAGCAGCTGTGACCAAGAGAAGCAGGTAACTGACCCGAAATGACAGCCACACTACAGCAATTACAGAAAACACTTGTGGGATACAGAAGCTTGATTCCATTCTGGTTAAAAATGAATCCTGGGCCAGGCATGGTGGTGCCCTATAATTCCAGCACTGATGACGCAGAGGCAGGAGAATCACTGCAAATTGGAGACCAGCCCGGGGCTCCACAGTGATACTGTCTCAAAAAAAAAAAAAAAAAAAAAAAAAAAAAAAACCAGGACAACAATCTCTCTCGGTTGTCGGGA